AAAGTCAATTACGTGGTATGACGACGATTATAGAATTTACGCACTAGCGGGGGGCCAGCAATCAGGGTTCATGAGTTTAGAAAAGTCAGTCATTCCAGATGCTGTGGAGAATGTGGGTTTTGTTGACAACTTTTCACATTCAACATTGACTACATTCAGGTTCGCCTTGACATAGGCTTCAATCATGTCCGCCGTAGTATATGGACCAAATCTTCTGATGATGACAAAAAAACTCGTTCGTCTATGAACCATAGACATATGCCTAGGGCAACATCACGAGGTCTATTTCAGTTTATACCTTCAAGTTGATAAGTTTTATTCGCATCGTGGTCGTCGTCTATACTCGCTGAAAATCGAGAAACGTCTAGAGCTACAAGTTTGGTATAAATCAAGATCGAAGAAGCACCGTTTTTCACCCATTGGGAGTTGCCAGGAATTCAAAGTTTAGCTGACTTCCAAGCACTACGCCCTCTCTGTTAGGCTTATTAACTTTTAAATACATACTGTGAAAATGGTTAATTATTCACTAGGTTTTAATTTTGCTTATTTCGCTGACTGAAAAATGCGCTAAATTAAAATCCAGTGAATATGTACAATTGAGCATAGGACAAATTATCTAAATGATAAAACCGTGAATTTAAAACTCACTGAATAGGCCGGAAATGCTTGATCAGTGAAATTTAAACCCAGTAAAAATTAGTCATTTTACAGTACAGAATTTGCTTAGAAAAGAGGATATTTTGTGACCTTTTTCAGGTGGAGAAATAAAGAAATATTTAATACATATATTGCATGCACAAATTGTTACATTCTTCACAAGGAGAGCAACCTATTGGATGACAAAGAATATACCTGGTGTGAGATTTGTCTCTAAATACTATGGTGCCGAGGACTTTACGATTTCCTGGAATCAGAATGACGTCAGATGCGATTGCATTGGTATGAACTTGAATGTCTTTGGACGAGGTGATTCCAGCACTCTGTATGAACTTGAGGTTAAAGCGCGGTAGTCGTCGCGCTGCGCATGTGCCACATGTGTGTTGATAAACATTGATTTTCCCACAATCCAATGCGCTCTTCAAACGAAAATCACAAGTATGAGGTTTGCATTGACTACCGCCGGTGACTCCTTCTATACCTTCCAATAACATGAAAATAACTTAATTAAAGCGTGGTATTGTCTCAATTCGTACTCGTTGATCTGCACAAAAGTCAAAAGTGCCATCTTTGTTTATATGAGACCCATATATCTCGCACATGCGCAGCGCGGCAACTACCGCGCTTTAATAAACTTTGGTGACCTTGGATAAACGGGTCAACAAACTCGATTATGCATTTCTGTAAATTTTCATAACATTCATGTTGCCTTGAGGGTCCATTCAGTCGTATGACAATGAACTATGATACCTGATTCGGTAGTTTCTTGCCATTCGTTTGGTTTCGATCAATCAAGAAATGAGCAGTGTAAACCAAGTGATGTCATCTTGATTTACATATGTTTCCTTATAAATTGATTAAGAAATCGTGACCTAGGGCTGCATATTCGACTATCGACCAGAAGTACGGTATACCACAGATAACGTCATCATTGAACTCCCGATTGAGAACTTATTCCCCAGTCGTTCTAGTGTCAGCTATAGTACTGTACAACGTTCTTATGATCATGTGACCCACCCCTAAAAACCAAGCCGTCCGAGATTTGTCGCCACGTTTGTTGCTCCAGTCCCACATCGTTACGTCCGGTAAAGTACATCTACATTACACGCGCAAACATCCAGGTTTTCAGTTTTCCCCTGCCTTACCTGCATATTTCGACCGCGGTTACGTTTATCGAAACAGCCTAAAGTATTTAGGCAATGCAGTAATATTTAATTAGCCAATTTTGTGTAGCTATTTGTAGTTTTTTATTTAGAGTTATAGCTATATTTTCATTGTGTATTTATTGTCAAACATTGGGTTAATTTTTTTTTGTATTAAAGTGTGTGTACGCACATTTAAATTAATTAAAGTCATTTAGTGCTGTGCGTGTATGATGAACGTGTTCGTTCCTTTATTCATAAATTCTCTATGGTTCTTGGATGTCCCATTGTTATTGGCCTGAGATCCAAACATTGTCGTCTTGTAACGATAACCATCTTAATAATTAATGATTTCCAATGCCTCTATGGCCCGTGAAAAGAACCCACAACAAGTGTGATCTATATATGTTTGTGTCATACAAATTACAGTTTGGCATCCCCATTCGCTTTGTATGAATTATTTTGAATTTAATACAAATATATATATAGACCTCTTGACAGGAGTACAAAATAGACAAGTTTCATAGAAAGTGCGCTCTGGTGTAAAAACCTTCCTATTTCGTCTGTGTAGGGGGGATTGATTTCGCCGCTTAAACTTCGATAGCTCATCAGCGAATACATTGCACTAGCTAGAAATCATCAATTCTCTCATGGCAACCGACTGGAGGCGCTATAACGCGAAACCTTTCTAGTAGACATCAAAACAGAAACAGATTGATCGCATTTTCAGCAGTGTTATGCGAGGGATGACGCTTACACATAGATTTTTCCACCAAATTATAGTGCAGGTATATCAAAATGTGCATAAACATAATGTGCCCAGCCAAAACAGAAGTTATTTCGTACGTGTGGACACAAAAAGACAGGCACGGACAAACAAGTGACAAATTATAAAGACAATCCTAGCTGGGAACAGTCAGAAGCGTTATTTTCTAATTTTTCCCATGGTGCTTTAACAAAGTGCGCACCCGTGCAATATGTTTATGTCAAATTAACCAATATTTATGATATATTCTAACAATTTATCACTTGCTTGGTATCCAAAACATGCATATTG